AGTTCATGTTGTTTTTAGCTTGATTCAGCCTTGAATCCCATAGAAAGTGTTTAACTTTCCAACGTATGAGAAGGGCTGTTTGGGGATTCATCGTGCGCTTCTTAAAATTGTCTATGTCTATTGCAGATATTTGTAATAATAAGCAGTCCATGGTTACATAAAGGAAGCTTTAACTTATACGTGATGTGTATTTGGTTCTAAGCCAAAAGCTGGGTTCTTTATAGGTTTTTTTTTCGAAAAATTTAGCTCGATTTCAAGAAAACCCTGTGAATGATATAAGCGAAAATTGAAATTTTTTTCCGATGCGTGGTGTGAATTGGGTTGCAATGTGACCGCCAAAATTTTGCGCGATTTATATTTTTGCATTATTCGCATTTAAAACTTGTTTGTCTCGAACTATTGCATACATAAATGCTTTAATGATTCCTGACGATTCCAGAGCTCGATAAAGAAGGCCTCATCGTAAGCGTAACTTGCCGCAAATTCACCAGCGGGTTCGTTCTTAATGAATGTTAACACTTTAAGCGGTTTTAACCCAATTTAGTACTTTCCATCAGGTTCATCTAATGCCGCGTCCAGAGCTAACGAGGAGACCGAGCCGAGCCTGAGCCGCGACAAATTTCTTTGATATTTCGTCTAAACCCCGACAGGAAATCGGTCGCCTGTCGGTGTTTTCACGAAACATCAATGAAATTTTGCTGCTACTCAGGCTCGGTTCGGGCTCGCCTCGTTAGGTCTGAGCTAAGAAAAGCTTGATTATGGCGAACCCGCCCCGATATCGTAATGGCGATGGGAAAGTTCAAAAACAAGGTTTGAAGGTATGTGTGGCGTCAATTTGGTTCGAATCAAGACACTGGTTTCTTCATAATGGATTTTAAAACTCTACTAAATRCTGTGATGTTTTCCATTTTTGTATCGAGAGGTACACACCATCTCGTAGAAAAACTGGTTTGGACAGGTTTTTTARCCGACAAGAAGTGCTTAATTGCTTAARTGGACACGAAACATTTGGACCTTTTTAGCGCGTTTATTTAAATCGGSGGTTCAGAGTCTGATTTGAATGTGGAAACTAATWAACTCTAGACGGGACTTTAAACTGTTGTTTTTATGATATTCTTATCTTTCCTGGGTCTCAGTCAAAGTGTGAAGTAAAAATTTTGAACACCGTTTATTTCATTACGCTTCGGCGAGATAACAGCGCCATCATCAGATTTAAAATTAACACAAACTACAAACACCAATTCACAATTGAATCATGTTGTATAAAAACTATAATTTACAAAGTGTTAAAATATTCATCAGTTTTTGAAGGGAAAAAATCCTTCCTTCTGGGAGAGCAAAACACTGGAAAAACTTATCTCATGATTGGTAAAACTCAACGTTCTTTTAGGTCTTTGCCTTCTTGAAGCCTTAAATTTGTCTGAATTGTTTTCTACATTTGCGAGAGTGGTATGCATGTATTGAGATAAGCAGAAATAGTTTTAACTTTTCACTAGTGTACTGGGTGTTCCATGCTTATGGCTTTATTAGAGATCAGAAACAAATTATGTAACATATTAACAAATTTTAAAAATAAGAAAAACGACAAAAAAAGTAGAATTGAAACTGGAATAGACAGACTGATATGTGAAACAAAACGATTCGTAAATAAAAATTCAAATATATGTGACCTAACAGCAGATAAATGTAATAAAACAGTAATTATGCTTAAAAACGAATACCAAACAAAAATGTTAGTCTTACTAAATCATCCAGCCACATCAATACATATAAACGATTAGATTTATACATTTAATTAATATCATTTATAGATTTAACCAATAAGATACAAACAACACTAAATAAAATATTAAATTTTTGGTTTAAACAGAACTACATAACTGAAGAAAAAAAACAAACACTGTACTTCATAAAAACAACATACCATTACGACCAATCGTCAACAATATAGGTACACCAACTTACAACTTATCAAAGTTCCTCTCCACAATTCTAAGAAATGTCTTAGGA